GACTCCAGGCACACCACCACCATTATACCTTTGGACTCCAGGTGTGGCGCTGTAGGATCAACACTGAAGTATGAACTACAATGTTGGCAGTTCAAACCCACCAACAGCTCCTCAGAAACCGTATACAAGGTTGCTATGAGTTGAAATGGACTCAAGGGCACTTAACAAGAACAACATTTTACCTTTGGAGTCCTTATGTGGCAAGGTAGGATAAACTCTGCAAGGTGCACAGTTCAAACTCACCAGCTGCTCCTCAGAAACTTTCCATTGTTGTTATTAGGTGCAATAGACTTAATACCAACTCATAGCAATCCTATAAATAACAGAACTAAACACTGCCCAGTCCTGTGCCAACCTCACAATCATTGTTACGATTGAGCCCATTGTTACTGACACTTCATCAATCCATCTAGTTGGGGGTTCTTCCTTTTTTGGCTAACCTACCACTTTGCCAAGCATGATGTCCTTCTCTAAGGACTGGTCCCTCCTGATAATATGTACAATGTATCAGAGATAAGTCTGGTCATCCTGGCTTCTAAGGCTCATTCTGGTCATACTTTTTCCAGCACAGAGTTGTTTGTTCTTCTGGCAGTCCATGGTACTTTTAATATTCTCCTCCAACACCGTAACTCAAAGTCATCAATTATTCTACAATCATCTTTATTCACTGTCTAACTTTCACATGTATATGTTGTTGTTAAGTGCCATCAAGTCGGTTCCAACCCATAGTGACCCTGTAGAGGGTTGCCAGGGTGAGCTTGAACCACCAATCTTGCAGTTCAAACTGACTTTGCAGTCTAGAGCATTAACCCACAGCGCCACACCAGGACTCCAATGAGGTTATTGAAAATACTTTGTCTCGGATCGGGTGCACCTTAGTCCTCAAACTGACATCTTTGCCCTGGAACACTTCAAAAAATTCTTATGCAGCAGATTTTTTGAATGCTGCTTCCATGAGTGTTGATAGCTAATCTAAGCAAAGTGAAGTCTTTGACAACTTCATTTCTTTCTCCATTTATCTTCATGTTATTTATTTGTCCAGTGGTAAGGAGTTTGTTTTGTTAACATTGAGTAGTAACCCATACCAAAGGCTGTGGTCTTTTATCTCCTTTTTCTCTTTGAATTCACACACATGCACACA